ACAGGTCTGACAGGAACTTCCAGAATCTTTACAAGACTAGACAAGTAGTTAGATAAAGTCTTGGCCGTAACTGCAATTAGCATGTCCTGAGGAGCTGATACTGCCCGGAGGAGTGCTTCTGCAGCTGTGTCGGCCGCCGCCCTCTCTGAAACTGACTCTGAGATATCGTTAGTGGCAACAGACTCGAAAACCATCTTCACTGCTGCAGGATCCGGAATAATCCTCTCTGCAGCAGCCTCAGGAACAACTCTCACCAGTGCTGACTGGGGACCTGTGCTCTCTGCAGCAGGTTCGAGAGTCCTCGTGGACTCAGGCGAAGACAGAGACGGAGAACAGAAAGTTCCCCTCTTCCTCCTCTTTCTTCTCGGCCGCGGAGCAGAGGCCAAAACCGGACTTGAGACCGGTTGGAAAGACTCAGAGGGAACCACAGCAGGAACTGTCGTCTCTGTGGAGGATGACTCTGAAGCCGACTCCCACGACAGCCGTCTCTCTCGTTTTCCACGAAGACTTGTAGCTGTGGAGGATGCTTCAGAAGTCGCGCTGGGACAAGTCTGGCTCACCAACGTGGCCACGGTGAGGATGCGACCCTCTGGAATCACGGGCAGCATACCAGGTGATGACGGTCTAATGGAAGTCCGTGATTCCTTCTGTGCCAAACAGGTAATCATCTCCTGGAACGGATGACGAACCAGTTTCTCCCATTCAGCCAGAGGAAGCGGCTCATTTAGGCCCGCGATGAGGTAGCGTTTTAGTAGGGCGTCAGGCAAGAAAACCCTCCTCTCGTCCACGACCCGGGCGTACTCTCTCAGGGACCACTCACCCTGGGGAGGGAAGGGAAGTTTGCCCCTCCTACTATCAGCAATCGTCTCCTGCCACCATTGTACAAGAGGGTCCGAATGCTGATCAAGACGTGGTGGAATACTGTTTGCTGGGTTCTGGTAGGGTCGGTTCATTCTGTCACGATAAATACGGGTGAACCCAAACGCAAACAGGATGTATAACAAACGGTTTATTTACTAAAAAACAGGAAACACAAAAACCCACGAGGGGGCAAAACGTAGACTAAACACAAAGAGACTAAACTAGATTATGACTAACAATAACTAGACAATACTCTGGAACAGGAAACTCACAGGATATCACAAGGTCTCAAAACTCACAAGGATCACACAGAGGTAAGGATCACAATGAACCGACACAAGACAGCAAACACAAGGAGACTAAATAGGAGAACCAATAAAGGGAACGGGTGATGCTAACTAGACAATCATGACAAACGAGGATAACAAGGAGGCGGGGTAAAGTAACGAGACACACAAGCACATGGCCAAAACCAAAGACCACGTGTTGTACACAAACATGGGTCTGCCATGATCCAGAACTAAAGAACTCAAGGACTAGAGGACAGAATCATGACAGTATTAACACAATATATTATTCTGTATATTTTCAAATATACTGTTAAACCAATATGTTGATCCTTCATATAGGGAAATATATTTTCTTTTCATAAGGGGTAACCAAACTCCCCGCTTAAATGCGCATGTTTTTTTTTAATGTAATATCATTTCAAGATGGAATGTCTGTATGTTCAGAAATTCCATAACTACTGCCATAGATTGCAAACTCTATATCTTTAATGATAAATACCCAATTGAGAGATTAATGCATTTATTGTATTAGGATATCTTTTAAAAACAAAACAACACCAAACTGTACATTTAAAAAAGTTGAATTATACAATCTATAAATAATAATATCAGTAGCCCGTAATTATCGCATATTAACAACAGATAGCTATATTTCCATAGGCCTATCCATTCAACATAACTCAGAACAAGATATTAACAACTAAAAGTATCTTATTTAGATATTATTTTGACAGTGAGAGAGACAATGCTACGGTTTATGAATGTCACGGTTTATGAATTTGCTGTCTCCTTTCTCGTCTTGTTGTGTGTTTGTATGCGTGCGTGTGTGCGTGGCCGCTGATCATTGCAGCTGATCAGCACGCCCGCTCTGATCAACGCGCCAGCTGCAACTGATCAGCGATTCGACCCTTTTTAGTGTTACTGTTGTCGCCTAGTCTTTGTCAGATCGTTGTGGATTTTTCCTGCGTGTTTGTTCCCTGTATCCGTTTTCCGTGTGTCATCCCGTGTTCAGCACTTCTGGTTCTTCATGCAGCGTCCCTGTGCTGCCAAGGGCTTCATACCGGACATTTACACACCTTAACTCTCCCAGCATCTGACCAGCTCTTAATAAACATATCTTTCATTTTGCAATTGAATCTTCTGATTATTTCCTAGACAAAGGTCAACCGCGACTCGAGAAATGTAACAAAAGAATACCGCGAAATTCAGTGCGGTCAATATGACCGTCTATGGCCGAAATAGGTAAATATGTTCATTTGTTTTTTTGCCTTATGTGTAATTTATAAAAAACATTTTAAATGAAAATACAGACACTTTTAGGAAAAGTCAGGTACCAGCAGGATTATTTACCAGCCACACCTTATTTCCACTCGTTACAGCTTTCATCCTACTGAACAGGTACCGGTGTACAGGGGGAGGGGATCCGGCCGTGAGTGCAGAGCCATCTCTGCGTGAGTGCTATTTACGACAGTAAAAGTACTCCACAGCGACTCTAGGGGTCACTGTTTGACAAAAACGGAAATCCTGCATAGTGCTGCTTTAATTCCTGTCTGTTTGTTTTCTGGGTTATGTGTGTTCATCTATTTACCTGCATTGTTTTTGCTGACTTTAAGGTTTTTTGTAAGTTTGTTTTTACTACTGATATAAAACAATGGCTTTTGACACAATATTGTAATTTGTCTTGTTTTTTATTTATTAGATTAGAAGATGTTTTAAACATTCAAACAAAATATACAATGACCATGTGCAAAATTAATATAAAAATAATTTGTTGAACCCAAAGTAGATTTACACAAATTGAGAAAAAAAAAAAGATTCGATTCATTTAGAAAAGCTTATTTTTTCCCCCCATCATTACATAGTATCAAAATGTTTAGATTTAGGCATGACAAGAAATACAAAGTTCAGAAACAACGAGAAACATGTAAAATCTACAAGTTCAGGGACGTGCACAGGAATTTTGAGGGGCAGTTGCTCTGACCTGAAAAAAGGGCACCCCCAAAATTCTGCTAAGGGGCCCTCTACACAGCAAAATCCCCAGTGTTAAATTAACACTCTGAGTGTGGACTCATATAAACACTGAAGCAGTGTTAAAGTTAACACTGAAGCAGTGTTAAAGTTAATGAGATAATTAAGTGAATAATTGAGGGATGATTGAGCATCATTGAAGACACCTGATGATAACAAGCAGAATCACTGAAGGAGAAAACCGTAATTTTAAGTCACCATTATGGTGATCAGTATTTGCTTTAGTTGGGCTCTTGACCCTTTAATCATTAACTTCAGATTTTGTTTGGCTGCTGTACGTGAATTATAACAGCCAGATGAACATATAAAAAAAAGGTGATCTGATGGTGTTGGTTGTATTTTAACATAATCATTATTTCACAATCATTTGACCTGAATCACTGAACTCATATATAGGCCAATTTCTGAATTAGGTTTACTTTATTAATTATAGCAGCACTGTCCTTGTATGGCATCATATTTTTAGCCTTTTCAATAGAACCAAATGATCAACAAAAAAAAAACCGTCAAAAATATTTATGTTGGCACACACAGACATCAAGAATTAGCATATGAATCTCAGCAATGGTGACAAACAGATCACTTCTGAACATAAGCTCATTATTTATTCATGCAGCAATGCATGATTGGAGCCATGAATGAGTTTTTATTGGTGGCACCCAGAATGCACTGCAACATGCTTTAATAATTGTCACCATTGTTGAGATTCACAGGCTGATTCTTGATGTCTAAAAACTGTATCAAATAAATGAATTTTTTTTTGTATATGAGACGTGTATAAAATGAATTTCTGTGGATTACTTTGTAAAAGTTTAAAACACTATGCTGTGCAAGAATAGTGCTGCTATAATTGATAAAGTAAACCTAATTTGGGCTCTATATGTGTTCAGTAATTCAGGTCAAATGATTGTGAAATAATTATTATGTTAAAACACAAGCAACACAATCAGATCACCTTTTCTATATGTTCATCTGGCTGTTATAACTCACGTACAGCAGCCAAACAAAATCTGAAGTTAATGATTAAAGGGTCGAGAGCCCAACTAAAGCAAATACTGATCACCATAATGGTGACTTAAAATTACGGTTTTCTCCTTCAGTGATTCTGCTTGTTATCATCAGGTGTCTTCAATGATGCTCAATCATCCCTCAATTATTCACTTAATTATCTCATTAACTTTAACACTGCTTCAGTGTTTATATGAGTCCACACTCAGAGTGTTAATTTAACACTGGGGATTTTGCTGTGTACCTGACCTGTGACGCCGTGAGCTATGTAAACCATTTGCCATTGCCACACAGTCACACCTGACACTTCAGTGCTCCTAATACAATCCTCCCTCCTTTAAACAAAACAGTCAAATAAAAAGTACAACAATATAGAACAGAATGAGGTTCAAACAAACAATATTTATTGAATAGAGTATTTTCTATAGAATGTTAAGATAACAAGTGAATATTAACATAAACATAAATAAGAAGAAAATAATAAATTATAACCCTGAGCTTTTGCTTTTGGGATTAACTTTGGTTCTCTTGGTACAGCCTGAGAATTTTCGGCATCAGTATGATTTTTTTTTTATTTTTTTATTATGCATGTTGAAGCAATTCTTGATTTATGGTTAGGCTATTATTTACTGAGGGATGTGCATCCATATTGACCAGTATCAACATTTTAAATTCAATATAGCCTATAAATCAATAGTCAATCAATGTTAAATTGTCAATACATTGCTTTCTATCTTGCATAATTAGTGCAGTTGTTTAGAGTTTTTAACTACACTGTTAATTCGTTACCAGGTAACCACAAAATACAATCTGCTAAATTTGTAAAACGTTAAAGAAAGCAGCATGGTTTCCACTGTTAAACAATTCACAGTTCAGTTCACTTCTTGTTCCCGTGCTGTTCAACACAAACACAGTCTCACACCAGAGATCTGGCTGATCTTTTCTGTTTTTGACAGCAGTGACTTTAAACGTCTCATATGGAGGAATCAGCACCTCTTTCTCATCAGGATACTTTGAATATTTTGTCAAATTAGCACCTTCACAAGTGTAGATTTCAAAACAAGATACATTTCCAAAACCCTGTATTACTTTACGATCAAGAGAGGAGGATGAAAATGAGCTCAAACGAACCTCTTTGCTCTGAACATCAAATTCAGCATTTGTACCTCGATAAGTTACATAGCATTTATTGTGTGTTTTCTTCAGAATCTGTATCGCTTCTGTTAACAGAAAGTAAAGTGAAAACCATTTGAATGTCTTGTCTTTATATTTTTCTTTGTCAGTACGAGTGGCACTATTGAAATTACTATATACTTTAGAGTCTTTGTTAGTGTACACATGAATGGCGACTGAATGAATCTGTTGCAAGTTATCCTCTGCTTTCTTGGCTTTCTCTTCACCTTCTTGCCAAGTCTTATTAAATTCAGCTGAGGTCGATTTTTCCTTCTCTAGATAAGTTGTGTTCACCAGGTCTGCCATTTTCACAGTACAACCGTCATATTGATCATCAACTGAATTCAGAGCGAAATCCAATGGATATATCTTTCCTTCAGCAGCGCTGTGATCCTGCAGCAACATGAATCATAATGATCACATCATCAGTATTCATGTCTGTAATATTCATACTAGAACACAAGCTTACCTGTCCTAGAGCAGCTAAAATGAGAAGAAGAGCTTCAATGATCAGCAGCATCTTGATTCAGTCAAATCCCTCAGATGATCCAGAAGATCTAGTGAAGAACAGATGATGAAAGACATCCAGAAACACAACAGTGTCTCACAAATACTAAATCTATCTCTGCAATAGAATGTACAATTAAACTGTGCTCACATAAGACAGTTTTAAATTCATGAAAGTGGCAGAACTGTTTGAAATAATTTCTTAAGCCTGTGATGTTCACTGATATTTTGACCTTTTACTTTATCCCAAAACTTACCTGAAAATACTGTTGTCTTTTTTTTGTCAGATAATGTTTTATTTTCGTTAATTTTCAGGAGGAACGATGAGAAGTGAAGATCCGAAAAGTCGTTTGCTCACAGTCAGACAGCAGCGGCACAATGACACAGCACAACATGGCTTTTTATATTGCAAATAATCTCTGTCGTCATATAATGCATATAGTTTTGCTTATCTGACCTCTGATCATTCCAAGGAATCTCTTAATTTCAGAAAACCTGCCTGGCAAGTAGACAGAAGGCAAACTCCTATAAAACTGTTAAGAAAAGTTATACAAAAAGATTACATATTTCAGCACCTATACAAGTGCGGATTTCAGGACAAGATACAGTTCCAAAGAAACTTGAATTATGCAACAGAACCTAACCCAACCTCTTTGTTCAAAACACTCATCAAATTCAAGTTTACCACCACAATAAGTTGACAGCATAAAATATGGAAACCCAAGATATGTGTGTGCACACTGTAAAAAATAATTGCCATTTCAACTTTTTTTTTTTTTGTAGACACAACTAAATTTGTAGAAATTGTCCAGACAACAAGAACATTTAAGTTTAATTGTCCTCAACTAAGCTAAAAGTTGAATTAACTAGTATAACTGTTGTTTCAACTAGAAAACGCATGTTGATACAATTGCACATACACCATATATTCAAGTTGACAAAAAAATTTAAGGCAGCGGGGTAACAAAGTTTTTTAAGTTGACTCAACAAATTGTTTTTTACAGTGTAGGTTCTCAAAGTGCGGCCCGCGGGCCAATGGCGGCCCGCCGAAACATTTCTGGCGGCCCGCGATAACATCTGTAAAACTGTTAAAACTATTGCTTTGAAAAAATGAATATCTCCGTTTAGTGGTGTTTAGCGGCATCCATAGGCATAAGCGGTAATTACATGGTCCGACCGACCGATCGCACTTGACCTCACTCCCAAGGCCACCAGGAACAGTGGTTGTCTACACAGGAATAGGAATCGTGGCCAACCGAAACCAGCACCACAAATCCCATTGCAATTTAAAAGGGTATGTTGACCAAGTAATCAATATTCAATGTGACTTAATAATAATCTTAACAATGTCAAGCTTATTAATAGCCGCGTTTCCATTACCTTTCAAAATGTTCGCGGGCGCGAACACTTGCATTTTCCTATCAACAGTGGAAACAACTTAAACTAGTCTATCATTTCTGGTCATACAGAAAATAATAATGCATTATACGCAACTACTTTTATTTGTGTAAACTCATAACAAGAAAACGTGCTTTTGTAAAATAAAATAAAACAATCAGTAGCCCCTATACTACGCGCTTTCATGATCTCCGTGAACTGGAGCGCGAGAACTGAAACAAAATATAGCTAGCCTATGTAGGCTAAAGCTTAAAATGTGCACTTTTAAACAAACAAACTCGAATCGAAAGCAAATACCTGATTATGTAATCCGTATGAAAGGTGGATTTCTCTCTAAAAGCGCATCTGCTTAACAGCGGAGATGGAGATATGTTTTTAGCCGACACTTAGAAAACAATAGTTTATTAATAAACAATTAAAATGCCTCGCTGTTTTTTCAGACGCATTTATTATCATTAGCCTATAATTCACCTATAAATCAGGCTAGATCAGACACGTACAGGCTATATGGCTCTTCTCATTCATCACTGCGGGAAAAATATAAATTCCAGGTTCTAATTTGGCCTTAGAAAACCAGTAAAATCGACATGTTTTCCATATTAATTTGTGAATATTTAAAATGTTTAATAAGGGGGCAGAAAGTCATTTAAACAAAAATCTGAAAAAGTCTGTCGATATTTACTTTTTTTGCGCAGCAGTTGCCAGTTCAAATTAAAATTTTGTTCAACTTTGCGTTTTAAAAAGACAACAACCGTTCATTTTTCGTTTTTCAGTTACGGGTTAAAAAATATAGATAATAATATGCAAATCTGCAATAATGGAAACGCGACTGACAAGCAATGATAGAAATGAATGATGATGATGACTTGTTTGGTAAGCTTCTATTTTAAAAGTTTCTTTCTCTCCCCCCCAAAATGTTCACAAGTTTTGCCAGGTTTAGCCTCAGTTATGAATTAAAATGTGTTTATTGCAACTAATGTAAACTGTAGAGATGCAACCTGGTCGTTAAAATAATTTCAAATGGGATTTTCTTTTCAGTTTTTTTTTTCTTCGTTTTTTCCCCCGCCACTTTGCCGGCCCTCAGTTCAATGTTGGGTTCCTAAATTGGCCCTCACCTATCAAAACTTTGAGAACCCCTGATATAAAGCAATCAAGTTTCTTCATAAAATTTGGACTAAACCGCTCGATTCATATGGATTAGTTTTACGATCTATATTTATACGATCTATAAACCGCTCGATTCATATGGATTAGTTTTATGATGAAGCGTCAAAGTGGTAGTTGTGCTGTCTATGGAGGGACAGAAATCTCTCTGGTTTCATTAAAAATGTCTTACAGGTTTGGAACGACATGAGGGTGAGTAATTAATGAGTTTTTTTTTTCATTTTTGGGTGAAATAACCCTTTAATATACCATAAAAGGGAATAAAAAAACATACTTTCCCCCGGATTGTTCTGTCCTGCTTCTTCCATTCCCTGTCGTTCCTCTCTCCATCCCTCACCAATCATTTCAACGCGTCCTCCTCTGGGTCCAACTTTAATTTCATTCCTGATTTGCTTCGCCATCTCATGATCCACCTTCGCTCGAAAGCGAAGAGAGCAAATCTCAATGAGAGATCTCTCAAACACATTCTCTATCTTCCTCCCCATCCACTCTATTTCTGCCCGGCTCTCGCCGCTGGATTTCTGTCACTTACCGGAGCTCAGTCTAAAACATAAGCAAGAGGCATTAGATGCTGAATGCTTGCAGGATTGCATGACCGATTGAATATGCTCGAGAAGTGATTTTAAATCTTTATTATAATCTAATACGGCTAATGAAGCTCTTTTTCACCTCCCAGAACCTGTTGCTTTCATTAGCTCTAATGGGCGGCAGTGAAGGCAGAAAGCGTGAAGAAAAGAGAGACTGGCTCGGGTCAAAGGAGGACACGGTGTTGTGGAACAATTTGCAACATGCTGTATTTATTATTCACTGGAAACCATCACCGAAATACTGTTTTGAATATATTTTAGTTCTTTCTAATAATAACATTATGTTGTCTTATATGTTTTGAGTTTTTTTTTTTATCTATGCATGCAGCAAGAAACATGCATGGATTTTTTGGGGGGCTGTGTTGAAATTTTGGGTTGTACTTTTCTTTGTACCTATCGTCACACTCTACGTTTTTATCTCATCTCAGGATGGTCACCAGTAAAGGACATCAGAACTACAGATGTTTCATACAGGCTGAGAAGATCAGAGAGAGATGGATGGATGTAGAAGCCAGGCTATTTATCTCTTCAGCAGTCCCTGTAGACTGAGCCTTTGTTGATGCTTTTTAAGCGTTTTTCTTTTATTTTTCCTTCTCTGTTTGCTCTTTAAATGGCCTTGTTTACACCGTTTGGGTTTAGAAAATGCAAATGTTAATCTTTCAGTTCTGTTGTGCAGTGCATTTTTCCATTTTCTGAGTAAATCAGTGTGGGAGTGCTGGTGAGGATTTCTGTGCCTGAGGAAGATGAAGTTGCCACAATTCTCCTCTCAAATATCATTTGACTAATTAGATTTCTTGAGATCAAAAAGTGCCTTTGTGTGAGTGTGTGTGTGTGTGTGTGTCCCCGTGTGTTTGGCTCATTATCACACTATCAATTGGCTTCCTCATTCTGGAAGGGAAAAAGGAAAACCTACTGGGGAATATCAGCCACAAGAGTGGAAAATTATAGTTACAATATTCTCATGGAAATTCTAATTATAACACTATCAATTTTGATGATTGCCCCCATAATTGTTAATGGCTGGGGGTTTATTAGATGCATTTATATGCTTTTAATTTCATCATCATATTCTATTTGCAATGTTTAATGAATCAAGATGGGAATAACTTGAATTTCACAGAATACAATTCCCTTTACATTATCATGCATAATTTAGTAACAGCACTGGGATTTTTCATTGTTTGTATCATCCCATCGCACCAGAGTATGTGAGCGGTGCGGAGTTGTATCTGAACACAATATCTATGAACTTTTGACTTTGTGCATAATTTAAAGCCACTCTTTGTGGTTAAGTCAAGTCAAGTCAAGTCAAATATATTTATATAACGCTTTTCACAATACAGATTGTATCAAAGCTGCTTCACGGTATCAATCAAAACAACTTAACAGTTTGTTTATTACTGGAAAAAGACATCCAAGTTTGGTAGAGCTGATCAGTGGTATGATGGGTCATTAAAGGATTAGTTCACTTTAAAAAAAACTTTTGCTGATAATTTACTCACCCCCATGTCATCCAAGATGTCCATGTCTTTCTTTCTTCAGTCGAAAAGAAATTAAGGTTTTTGATGAAAACATTCCAGGATTTTTCTCCATATAATGCACTTTGCTGGGCACCAAACGGTTCAAGGTCCAAAAGACAGTTCCAGTGCAAACTGCAAACTGTTCAAAGGGCTTTAAACGATTCCAGACGATGAATAATGGTCTTATCAAGCGAAACGATCGGTCATTTTTAAAAATAAATAACAAAGTTTAAGTTTAATAATGTCAAATGCTCGCCTTTCTCTGTTCTGTGATGCACGTTCGTGACTCTCCTGTTCGAACTCATTCATCAAAATGAACAAATCTTTTTTCGAGTCATTTGGTTCATTTAACAAACGAAATGAACGAATTGACTCGGAAAAAGATTCGTTCATTTT